TGCATTTCGACTAACTGCCGGAGGTTTTCGTACCAGCAACGCAACGTAGCTCGAAAACAATCCGAAATGCATGGATGCTTGACTATGTGCTCCAAGCTTAACCAGTACGTTGAAACTATGAAGATCAGAAGCAGTATTGAATCTTCTCGACCGCAAGCTGTTGATTTTGAGTTGTTCCCCTCACACACCTTTCGTTTTTGGCATTCTCTCCCTTTCGTTTTCCTTGGCCATCTTTTCACTCTCCATATCTTCCATTTGTGACTGTTCCAAACAGCTTTCTGATGACACGGCACTTAAGTTACCCAACTTCATCACAGTCCTAGGATAAATCACACACAGTGAACCAAAACCCACCCATGGCTAAACCAGGCAACTGTGTGAATCTGCTGTAGAAGGACCCATCGAAGACATGAAACCGTCACGAAATACGTAATCATAAATGCGTTGAAACCCGTTGATCTCTCTCCCTCTCTTCATCTCCCTCTCTATATGTATGTATGTGTATATATGTGTGTGTGTACTTCGAGCGTAGCCTCACCGTAGTCAATGACCACCGCATCCTCAGTAGTTGTCGGGGCTGGAACAACGAAACGTCAAAACATGACGAAGAAAGCTACTAAGGTCACGAACGCACGACCTAGGTCCAGCTCAGCAGAACGGTCACGGCTTGCAATACTCAAAGTTATCCGGACTCCCAATCCCTCAAGGACTGTAGACGTCACTGTCCCTAGTCAAGTAAACGCAGACCCCCATGCTACACCTAGCATTTATCCCGGTCCCCTAGTGAGAACCACCAGGCGGAAACGTCACAGAGTAAGACGAAAGCATTCGGAAAAACCTCATGGACATAATGACGACTGCCATACATTCGCGCTCGCTGTGACCAAAAATGATGCGGCATTTGAGTGCAACAGCTGTTACAGTTCGATGCACTATGGATGTGAAAAATAAGTACTACATCAGTACCATACTTTTGTGACGCGCCGCTCACGCACGAGGTTTTGGTGCACTTGTTCACTGTACCATCTGAGAGCGCACCTAACTTCAGGCTTACCTAGAGTAACTGACAAATTTCCAGTAACCACCAAAAAGCAGGTGTTAGTCCAAACAACTATCGTGGAGGGGATTCACTCTCCAAAGGATTTCGGTAGTGGCTCACCGAATGTCAAAAACCTGAGTGGTTCAATGCCGAACAAAACATGGCCTACATCAACGGCAACCACATCAGCGACAGCAGCCAGTGGATAGCACAACTAGTGGGTTGGGGTAGACGAGAAGGCTCAAATTATCCATGAAGACGCACCCACAGGATCGGATAATGTTGGCATCAGTGACTGATCTATCTCTATCATTCTTTTTAACGTTCCTGTCTGCAGTGATAGCCTTATGGAGTATAAGAAACTCCCTTTGTGTGATACTAGATCTGGTCGCTCTCGAGGAAAGACTGTGTCGACCCTACAAAGACACCCACTCACCCCCAGGGAAGCCAATGAGAGCGACTCTAGGTTCAACCTGGGACGCTGAGAGGTTCCTCTTGCTGTCACACTCTTGCCGTGAACAGATCGTTCATGGGTCATGAGTATCAAGAAAGACGTCTTGAGAAGCAGCTGGCCCGCTAAAACTCACAACCATGGTCACATATGGAATACCTGAAATGGTGACTGGTACCCCAGAGATAGGTACACCCATGATGTTCAACGATGGGAGTGTTTTTCAGCTCGGATGGAGGTGAGTGGGGATGCAGCAGTGGCGATCGGCAGGCCACCACGCCCCTAGCATCTGACAACCATGACCTCACCAAGACTAATGGCTGTCAACTTCGAATCCCTAGAAGTTCCTACCAGAGTGGGAACGTTCGCTGCTGTGAAAGCAGGCCGAGAGCATGGTGACAACAACAGACAGCAGTTACTCTCAGTGCTCAGGCCACCATCACTCTAAAAAGACATATTGAGAGCCAGACCTGCAACCTCCACGTAACACCGACTGTACTAATCAACCCGGGTCGGTTCCATTGGAAGTAGCCAGTCAGTGAAAACCCTTACTTCCAAACTTATGGCACTGATAAACCCACAAACACCTCATGTTACAAGGAGCACTTCCAGGCGTCTTTACAGCGACGTGAGGAAACTCCAGAGCAAGATGTCAGAGCTCCGATCACTCTGTTCCGTCCTTGTCCCGAAAATCATAATCCTGGCGGAAACATGGTTATCATCGGACACCAAAGTTAACACAGACAACTTGTTTCCGTTCAGGAGAGACAAAGATCACAAAAACAGAAGGGGATTGTAACACACGCGAGAAGCTGGTTCAGAAGTGGACAAACTACTGATTCTGTACTGACAGGGGTCCCAGACTCTATTTGGTGCCATTTCACGGTCAAACACACTAAGTGCCTAGTTGAGGGAATCTATGGGTCCCCTAATAGCAACCTAGAACCCAATCAAAAACTACTCCAAGTAATAACCACAGTGTTGGCTATGGCGACTTCAACGCCCCAACTCCCAATCTAGAGCAAGGTGGCACGACTCCGAACTGGAAGTTCGATTGTGACCTGCTAAAAGCCGTCCAAATGGCTGGACTGCACGAAAAAATCGTCAACAACACCCGCTGGGGGTCAGATGGTGAACCATCTAAACTGGATTGCCTACCGGCTAGTGATCACCTAGTTGAAAAAGTTCAGGTACAAACTCCTCTTGGAAGCAGCGAACATGCCATGGCAGTGCTCGACCTGGCAGTAAGTGAACAATTATCATGGGAGGGACCTCGTCCCACCTCTGCCACAACAAGGCAAACTATGAAGGAATGAACCAAAGCCTATCGACAGCTCCATGGTCAGTGGGTTGGTGGTCCTTACCGGTTGGCCAACACTGAGAGCTGGTAAGGAACATCATTAGGGTTGCGATTTCACAAAACATCCCCGTGGTGGTAACAACAACCAGAAAGCGGACCTCATCACTACAACAAAACACTGGGTGCCTCCTAAAAACAAAGAGATAGGTATGGCACAAAAGGAGACTCTCCAGATAAGAGGACGATCACGACGTATATACAGCTCTACGAAATCGAAGCCACACCAGAGGGCAGGCAAACGGGAGGTCGTTCCAGTCCAAGCTCACCAAAAGGCTTGAGGTAAACCCCCAAAACCTATACCGATCCATGGTAAGGAGAAAATTAGCAAGCCAAGGGGCGTGCGTCATAAAGGGTCCAAACGGAGAAAACCTCTCTGGAAAGATCACCGAAATGTTAAGCACCACATTTGACACACAGCCCAACCATCTATCAAGAAAGCATGCATACCTACTGCCCGGAGAGCCCCCAAAGTTACCCGACGCCACAGCGTTACACGAAGTACAGAAAACTCGTGCTGTTGTTCTCCACAAGCTACCAAAGCTAGGCGCGGGAAAATCTACAGGGTGCGACAACATCCGCCCATCTGTGCTGAAAGAATGTGTGGGCACTGCCTCACATACCATCCTAATAAACAAAACAGCTGGGTCAGGGATCCTCAGCCGGGTGCTATCGTGGTTGCAGAAATACTTAAGTGGTAGGGAGTTTTGCGCGAAAGTCAACGGGGTCCACTAAACTCGGAGAACATCGACGCCCGCTGTTTCATGAGGAGCAGTCCTGGGTCCTCTGTTGTTCCAACTGTTCTTGGATGACCTAATGCTGCGTATTAGCTCTCCAATTCTCCTCTACGCCGATGAGGTTAAGTTATGGAAGGCGGTAACTTGCGAAGCGGAATCTGTGGCATTACGGAACAACCTCGAAACACTAGAAGAATGGGCAACAAATAACGAACTGGCATTTAACCTGAACAAGTACCAGTCCATATTTTTCCGTGCTCACGATCCCCAGAAAGTGCTCTATTCTCTCTGTGGTCCACGTTTATCTCGTATCACAGCAGAAAAAGACCTGTGTTTAGCAGTGACAGAGAAACTGGACACCAGTTCCAATTTCCCAGGTGATGCCTCAAAAGTATGCAGTGCACCACACGTTTTGCGCAGACAACTGGGTGCAGTCGTTTCAGAGCCCTTTCTGAAGCTCTGCAAGACTTACATGCGACCCTACTTGGGGACCATAATGTCTTCGCTCCACCGCCAAAGAAAAGTGGTGCGAACCTACTGGAGAAAGTTGAGAGGCCACCCACAGAAGGTGTTGTTGCGATGCAACGATAACCACATGAGGATAGACTGAAACACCTAAGCCCATGCTCTCTTAGCTGCCGAAGGTTACGAGGTGACCCGATAGTGGCTTGCAAAATACTAAACAACCCAAGTAGCTAGACCAGAGGATTACCACAGTGTGACCAATACGGTGATCCTTGTGGAAACCCTGAGATAATTGTCCACCAAAGATCAAAAACTCACGTGTGTCCACACTTCTTCTCCCTCCGAGTTTACGGGTACTGGAATGCATTGTCAGTAGGAGTGTTCTCCACCTCACCTGTTGAAAGCTTCAAGAAGAGGCTAGACAGTCACGCAGAGACCCATGGCCAACCTACATGTAGCGGTAATACGAACCAAGCAGATGAAGTGTACTGCTGTCACGCCATTCCAACCATTTTACCTCTGCGACCAGGTTTCTTTTCATTGCAGCCATTTGGGCCCTGTTCATCCCTTCCACTTGACGCTAGACTTACCTAACTAAGTTCTTCATATCTTTGCACCTCTTCGCCTAACTTGGGTGTAAATAGATTACTCCATCAGCTCATTTTACTTCTCCCTTTTACTCACACAAATTTTACTTTCCAGGTTTTCTCTTCACTATTCCTGACTCTCTCTAACGACCGCTTTGAACAACTGTCTGGCAACTCGACATCTGAAGAAGCCAACCGTACCACAGTCCAAAACGAACTAACACAGCCTCCTGTTCAGTATACTAGAGCTATAGCAGACGGGTGGAGGATCTACTGCATCGGAATCCGTCAGAGACCTGGAACCGTTCTACAAGACCAAGTAGCGAGCGAGAAGAAACCACTTGGTTTATATAAGCTCGTTGAACAGGTATTGGATATTGAACATCAGACGCTGACCTTGACCTTTTGTGCGCAGGGTACGTGTTTCCTGTTAGTCGTGAGGTTTCTGGGGTTAGTTGTCGTTTGCAGTCTGGTCGGTAGATTGCAAATCTTTGCATTATTAAGTAGCTAGTATGGATCAAAACACATTACGGAATATCTTCAGAAGGTAAGCAATGAAGTAGGTGATTTATAAATTCTAAAGGGTTGACAAAGATGGGAGCGGAAGCATTTCTGCTAATGAATTGCAAGCTAGTTTGTCAAACGGTGAGTCCTTGGCTAAAATGAAAACTGAAAAAAATTCTATAAGCGTGTCTACCCTGCCTAAGCACTGTATCATGTGGTTCATCACAAATATAATTGGCAATAAAGCCTAGATTTTGTAGTGATAAATTCTTGTCGCTGATTTAGATTAGAGGGAAACATCTCAGGATGAGGTCTGTAGTGCGTGTTCTAACACATCATATTTAGTCAGCTGTTCAGGCTTTCTCATGCAGTAAAGACCTCGAAATTGGGTTTTCTCTAACAGACCGTTTATCCACATGGACTGATTTAGTCTAAAAGGGCCAGGAAAATGGATGACAAAGAGAATAAAACCTTTTAATATCAGTCTACACTACCTTTATAGAAGAGCATATTTACCTTTTTAATTTTCTGGTAAAGTAGATATACCTGTAAAATTCCAGCTAAGAATCGTTGTTGCAATCTTGATGGACTTCTCTTGAACACGTTTCTTTGCCATTCTTCATGTTTGGTAGATCTCACGAGATCTAAGGCGAGAAACAGTTTTACGGACTTTCTAAACAAATATAGATAATCTTCCTATTTATCGAATAGCCATACGAGTAGTTTTAATTCACTCGGTCCGTATTGTTACACTCAAGTGTACGTCGTTTTAATTATGAACTTAGGCTGTGGTATGTAAATCCATCTGTCATCCGTTCACTTATTTGTTGAGCTACCTTGTCCATCCCTTGATCCTTTGGTGGTGTTAAGTAAATTTATTTACAAGAATATTGGCTGTCGAAGATTACCTAAACAAAAAGCTGTTGAGATATATGACTAGGTGATTACTCATAACAGCCATCAAGGGTGGGAAGAAACTAAGTGAGACATTGGATAAAGCTTTCATTTCTCCACTGTTTATACTAGTGAATAAGGAGAAAACCGCGAAGTAGTATGTGCACTAGTCATGAGTTATGTGGTGACTTGAGCTGCTTGCAATCAAATCCTGAGAGCTTCCTAGAGTCGTGTTGAGTGAAAATACGACAGTTTGGTACAAATACATTTTGCAGCACACCAGGTTCTAGACTGATGACTAATTTTGCCAACCCACTCGTGTTAAAAGCCGATAACACCAACAGCACATAACAGTGTTCCTATGTCGAACGCTAGGACTTCACATCTTTCAAATTTGGCTAAATCATCCTTCAATATCACTGACATGTTATCACTGTGGCATGTATTTGTACAACCAAATGCAATAATCTGTGAGTTAAGTATACTCAATTTAAAACGGTTTTGTTCCAGGCCCTAAGAATCCACGTGCTGAGACACTGCTTGTCTGTTGTTTTACTGCTGAACAACTGTTACAAGCCTAGCTCATTTTTGCCCATTCCTTTCCACCTTTAAAAAGGTATGCATCACCACACAAACTGACCTTTCTATATAACGTTTCGAGTTTTTGCACCTGATCATAGCATGATTGTGGATAAACAGACAAACCAATATAGAACTTAGCACAGAAGCGCATCGGTTTGAGTTGCCGTATTTCACACCAGCATGCAAACAGAAAGTGGATAAAATTATATGTGAAACGAGAGGATTATTCAATGAATGATGATAAAAATAACTCGAAACGACAGTTTAGTCGCCTGTTCCACTGCAGCAAATTTCGAGCTTTATCACGAAGACTCCATAGCCATTGACTTGTGTCATCTCAAAGACCCCAGCTAAACAACGCACACCTTACATTCATCAGAACTACAATCAGAGACTGAGTGGTTTTTCTTGATTTGGCCACCCTGAGCTGTCTCTTCATCTAATCCTACTTCGGCCAATATTGCACGTCAAGATAGGTGGCGGCTCAGCTTGATATTTCCCACACAAAGATTCCACCACGTACGAGTATTTCCAAGAAGATATCCATTGTCAAGAACCTGTAGCTTCCATGTATTTTACTTTCAATGACTATCTGAACTGTATAATAGGGTAGGACGAAATTCAGTGCAGTATCCTCATCCTTTGATAGTTGGTTGGATACCTCTCCAGCACCAGTGATGACTTCACTTGGTAAACTCTAAACGGGTCTTCTGTATCCCATCTGAGCTTTATTCACCAATAAACCCATTCAAATTGATGCAAATCCCCAAGCAAGTGAGGTAATGAATGCATTCTACCACTGCAATCCCTATCTTTAAACTAGGAGTTGCTAGAAACCAGTGCTAAAGCATCATTTTACATTTGACAAGTAAGAAACGCATGCTCACATCCCTAGACTTCTGTTCAAAGTGATGCGAAGACGGCATTTTGTCAGCCTCTTTGCCTAGTGTGACTACATCATCGTACTCCATGTCAACCAAGTCAATCTCTAAGAAAAACGAAGCACTTGGGATTGAGTCCGTCGGCGCATCTATAAGAAAGCTAAATAAGAATGGTGGGAATAGACTGTTGGCGAGCGCCACTGGTTGTCGCTGCTTTTATGGAGCTGTGGCTCATGGGTCTAGGCACTTATTTTCTAACTTATGGGTTAGGGGTTGCAAAGCCGCTCCATCTGCCAAGATTTGGATGACCAGCAGGTTTGGTTCACTACTTACTATACGAATGTGCACAATGTCGCTGATTGGACTTCGTCGTTGCTTGAGACGACAACGTTTCAAAAGCCCCTACATGGCTGTGTGAGTTCGAGTAGACGGCCTTGGTTGGTATGATCTACTTGCTCTATAATCTCTTCAGAACTAGATACTGCCACAACATCGTTAGCTTGAAGGAGTTTATTACCAACTCTAGGTCAAGAAATATGACGCGTTAGACGCCGTTGAGTATGCCTGTGTTCGTAAACCTATCGAAGGGTGAAGATATAGTCGATGCACTTCCATCTAGGTCTAAAGCTTGTCTTATCATCTCGCTTTTGATGTTCTTGAGCTCCAGTTGGATGTCAGATGACTATGAACCCTAGGATATTTGACACTGTTGTAGGCGGTAATAAATGAAGTCAGGGAAATGAAATCGATGTAACGAAAAGCCATATGAAACCATAAAACAGAAAAAGAGGAGGAATGAAGCATGAAACCATGTTTCAAATTGGATGAATGTCGAGCATGATTGTATCTGGACCGCAGCGATAAATCTTTATCCATGGTGTATTTCAAAAATAAACAGTATTCCATATTTTGCATAGCTGCAACTCGCCGTTTTAACCAAAGGATTCTGTAATCAGTCCAGTGTAGGTTTGTCTTTACAATCCTGTTTCTTATGACCACTTGTTTGCTTCTATTCACAGTACTTCCCTTAGTTAAGTTCTCAACCTCTATTTTTTAACATTACTTCGCTGTCAAAGTTGACAGTAGTTCCTCTCAAAGTTCTTCGGTGTTTTTTACCACCCTTTATTCGATGTATTGCAGCTAGGGTTATCTTGTAAAATGATTCCCTTCCTTATGTTCGTTTCATTATTTATTGTATGTTTATCTTGCAATTCAAAAAAGCAGACCATTAGCTCTAAATGTAATAGAGCTATAGATTATTGAGTCACTTCTAGTTTCACCAGTGACACGCGTTATCAAGAAGTGTGTGTTTATCCGTTGTATTTCCCGACAATTATTGGGAAAACTGTCAAACTTAATTACTGTGTGAGCCTCTTGTAGAGAGTACTTAATACTCTTTGTGAATACTGAATCCACGAGCGTGGCTTCCAGTATTTGGTCGTACTTTTGTAATATCTGTCGCCAAACATCAAAATGTTCACATGAAAACAGTTTTCCAGATACTGGTTTTTGTACCGTAGATTTTACTTGACTTCTATATTTCACAACACAATGAATACATCTCTATTTTTTCATATTATCGTAGAACACCTGTCTACCCCCTATTTCAAATATCCTTGAGTTAGTAAGTGCAAGCCATACTTTTCGCTTGTTACTGGTAAAAACCAAGAGTACTGACAGTTTATCGTCAGATTGATATGATGAAAGCCGATTCGTGGTTATGACCTAGTAGTTCATAAGAATAACTGATGCGCGATAGGCCATTATTAGTTATCTTGGTGAGAATTTAATCGAAAACCTCCGGCTAATCGCATAGACTTACTGTAATGATACTAGTTATGAATAAGAGTTGTTCAACGACTACAACCCCACTGGATAATTCTGTGCCCAGTTTATAGTAATCGAAGTAGTTGGTCGGTTTGGTAGACTAAGCCATATCTGCTGTATGGATTCTAAAGACTGAGTGCTTAAACTGGTTTAACAAGTGCATCAGTGATTTTAATTTCTTTCATCGTCTGTTTACTACTGGAAGAAATGTCAAAAGACCACGTTGCTCAGATGAGTGGTATTTACTTAAACTATAGTAATCATGTGAGAGTTTATCGAGACGAATGTATGTTTTCTCAGGTATCTTTGGAGTTAGGCTTTACTTTATTTAACTTTCCTGAGATTGGTCTTATATTCAAAAATCCTAGTGATCAATTCAGGATACAAAATGTTGATAGGTAGATTTTCTGATATGACACATCATTTCGACATTTTGGAATCGGAATTCCAGATCTTATTTCTATGTTCAAAATAATGCTTCATCATCAATTTGCCTATCGAGTACAATGAATTAGATAATAGATTGATTTGGCTGAATAACTATTTGTTCCAGTTGTTTCAGTAAGCTGTGACGAACAAGTTTATGACTGACTGGGTTGCACTGTAAAAATTGAAAGTTTAGTTGACGTTATCTGTGGTGATGACAAGTTATTCACTTGTATAGACTTGTATGCACTACTTTGAGGTATTTTCTGCAACCATAAGATTACCGTAAAAAATGTACAGCATGAATTCTAGGTGTTAGTTCGTCGGTGCACTAGCTTCACATAGTGTTACTACAGAACAGGTTGTTGTGACGCTAGACGCAAAGCTTTTGTTAAAGATTAATATAGGTGTAAAACTGTGGTAGGATTTAGTTCCATATTAGATTTGTTTATTTGATTTATAACACAGCGATACTTAATGACGTTTTGAGCATATATTATTGCTCCTAATCGTATCAATATGATTATGAGCAATAATTTATGCTCGAAACGTCATCAAGTATCAAGTATAAATCAAATCTAGTATGGAATTTTGTTGAAGATCTTATATCACTCAATGGGGTTGTTCAATCTATATGGATTGAAATGTTTGGTCCAGACGTAGTTTGTATGAAAAAATATCTGCCTTAACACAATATTTTGGTTAAAATAGAAGTAAGCTTAGGAGAACCTTAACAAGCATGAAGTGATAATTTCACCTATTTGTATGTAGATCTATAGGTTTCCTGGCTTAGCTATACAAATTCTATAAATCATCATTTATAGACTTACGGTGAAACGGCTCAAAATAAACTACTGTTTTGTGTTTCTATTAGAGAATAATACTTTATTTTACGCCTATTTTTAATTCATTTGCATCTATCACTTTATTTCAGTATTTTGGTTCAGCTTTCATTTTCTTTCACTGAGTAAGAAAGATTTAGGTAAACATGAATGTAAAGTTATTTTGTGATCACTTAGACTTACATGACCATTTCCATATTTTATTGTTGTCCGTATTAACAATTTCTAACTTCATCTCTATTGTCTTGTTTTGATGCCTAGCATATTGAATCAGTATACTGTGATAATCCTATCAAGGTTGCACAAAATGATATTAGATTTACAAGTGAAACTAGTTATCAGCATAACTTTTGGCACAATTTCCGCTGGTTTAAGCATTTCAATACAACATAGTTGACTTTATTACACTTTGTTCTACATTACATATAAAGGTTTGGGAACAGTGTTCAACTTGAGAACTGTACAACTAATGATAACAATGTTTGATCGTGATATGAATGGTACAATTGGCTTTGATGAATTCTGCAGTCTATTCAAGTATGTTCAAGACTGGCAACAATGTTTTCGACGATATGATCGTGACAATTCTGGTTCAATTGACCGTCAAGAGTTCAGTAATGCTTTGTGTAGTTTCGGTTATCGTCTATCTCCACAATTTATTCAACTTATGATAAGTCGTTTCGATCGAAATCGTCGAGGATGTATTGCATTTGATGATTTCATTTATGCATGTGTATGTTTACAGGTAGGTTATAAATCTGCTTTTATTATTTCCTGTGGTATTTTTCCTGGCTGTGAGTTGAAGTTAACATGACAGCGATCTGGACTGAAGTAATTATTTCCAGAGATGAGGTAATTGGAGTCGTAAACTACCATTTATCAAATCTTGCAGACGATTTAGAGTTTCAAAGCACTCAAACACTGTGGTATACTTTGTTATGCTTTCAACCGCTAATGGTTATATATACCGAACGATATAATACGCACGCTTAGCTGACAGCTAACTTTGTACGCAAAAGCCACTGACTGCAACCTCCGGACGAATAGAGAGAAGTCCGAAGCTGGCAGATGGGAGAGGTTATTACTAAAGAAAGTTCATCGTCCAGCATTTTAAAATAATAACAATCAATTTAAAAGACGTGAATAAGTATACACATGAAATGACCTTGTCTACAATTGATGTAGGAACGACACGTTAAAATGTTCAGATCAATAACAATGTTTTACACAAACTGAGGCATCACAACATACTTGCACCCATATGGTTGCACCACAGGATAAGAAGACTGTATACCGTCCTGGTTTTTTAAATAGCTTGAATGTGTGTTCGGTTCTCTCCTAAAAACTAATTTATAATTATCCGTTTAAATGATGGGTATATCATTCTGTGAATAAATCTTAACTTTGAAAAAAGAGGTCTTCAGTGTTTTCGTTCCAAGTTGTTATTCATTATTATCTAACGATAATGTATGAAGTAACACTCGTAATAAAGCAGGACATAACATAAATATTATGCATATCCATTCTATGCTGTGGATATCTTTAGCAAAGTAAATATGTAAATGTAGCTCAGTAACTATTTGCAGTTTCGTATAGTACCAGTTAAATGAACTACATACATTTATTTGATCATAGGAAAAGATAAGAGGTGGTAGCGGCGAAGAAAAATTTTTCTTTTCGATGAAGTCATTTGCTAACCTGTACATTTGTGGATCTATGTTACAGTGGGCAGAACGTTCCAGAGTTACTTGCGGTTAGGGGGGAAAATATATTGAATAACTAAAGGAAGTTAATTAATACACATTTGGGTATAAGGTGGGAAAATAGACAAGGGATTATAAAATTAGATGTAATTACGTAGTGCAAAGTAAATCTATGACACAATAGGAATGTAAACAAGGGATTATGGAAATATATGTATCGTTACGTAATACAGGACGAATCTATGATAGTCGAGGCTTTATGATGGGCATAGCAAAAATAAAGGTTGGATGTACCTTTTTTGGACGCATAACGCTACTTTGATCTGGATGGCTACTGCCTCAGCAATAAATAAATGCCTTGATCTTACTCCCTTCGAGTGGTTTGATAGGACCTTGTGGAGGATTTTGAATGAGTTCTCAAAAGGATCTAAGTGGTCTGAGTTTACGAGGTGTTCTGTTATTGAACTGAAGATACGTTTCCGTTATCCCTTTCCCAGCCAGGTTGGGTAGTGCTCGAGGACACTCTTTACAAGCAGAGGCACGTTACGGCCGATGTACTCAGCTCCACAAGAGCAGGTAAACTGGCATACACACATTGATGTGGCCTGATGCATCGGCTTGTCTTTCACTCATTGACCAAAACATTTCTTGCATGAGAAAATAATTCGAATCTTGGCGGGAAAGCATGTTCTCTTAAAGGATTTTGATAGTCGTTTCCTGAGGATGTCTGCAGCAATATCATTTTTGAATTCAAGATTCAACAGAAGAATCTCTCTATTTGAGAGTTATTGATACTATCCAGAGTGATTCTTTAAGCTAGGGTTTAAGTTGGCAAACCTTTGAGTGTCATAGTAGACATTGTCATCAAGGCTTCACAAGGAAGTCTCCCACACCTGAGTCACACATACACCACAAGCTCATGATACTATTAGCCTGCTCGATTAGCAGTAGGTGAAGTAGGGCTCGAACCTGTGACTCACTGTTTGAAAGCCGAGTTCATCCATAAATAACTCACTCATCAATGTCCATTTTATAGTACTTTCCTAAATGTTGTATCGTATTAATGATTATTTTTATCTTGTAGAGGTATATTGCTGAAAATATGAATAGGTAATCACCATCAACAGTTTATCCACAGCATTCTTTAGAAGTAACACTGATGTGTTTTATACACCCGAAATTCATATCACTGGAGTCTATTGTTGATCCGGTAGAATAGATTCACTTACGAAGACTGAAATTCCGAAGTATATTTAGTTAGATGGAAACATTGAATTGAAGATACTGAAAATTGGTTGGTTGATTTGCAAACTGATCACCGCATCCTATAGTATTTTGCTAAAGTTGAATATCATTTCACTGTTGTAATAGCACGTCAACAAGATCACAAATCTGCGTTTGCAGAGGCTTGAATCTATGTCAGTCAGTGATGCATTTGTTTTTAGGAATTTCTTATCACGATAACCACAGATGGATCGTAAATGGATGTTACTGGTATGTAGTAGAAAGTTACTGAACTATACGGAATGTTGAAATAAACGCGTTTAAGGCACTAACAAGGTATCAAACTAACCGTCATCATCGCAACTGCTCAAGTTTTCCTATGAATTATTACTTGTTATAGCCTACAAGCGAACATTGAGCTATTTGATGACGGTTTGCTTTACAAAATTCTATCTGTTCCTCTTTTTTCTTTTCCTTTAGACTTTGACAGGAGCTTTTAGACAGTATGACTATCGGATGGTCGGCCAAGCTCAATTTTCTTTTGAACAGTTTTTGACAGCAGCGTTTTCAGTTGTTATTTAAATTTTCACTACGAAGTTTCTACTGGAAATTTTTTTATACTTTACTTTATTCCCCTTGTTGAATTCAGCTTACCTTTGCTTTGTTAAAACATTATTTGTACGTGTCTGATTTTTGCGATTTCAATGTTATTTTCTCGTGCTCTCTCTCTTTCTCTTTCCTTGTGCGCTGCATTTGTTTGTTTTGTATATTGTATTTTCCTATCTGAACTATTGATAGTTGATTTAATTTTTTTTCTGTGAGAGACAACCAATATATCAATACCATGAAATGAATTTTTAAAGTTTTATGTTTTTATATGGGTATGTTTTTGTATAAGTGTAAGCGATTTCTAATTAACCTTACCATCATCCTCTTCTTTTTGTATCGTTAAATGATTTGTGAGGTAAAAGTCTACTGTACTATCAGGGTTAAGAACTTTGATGTACAAGCAGTTACCAAGGAACTTGAGTCAGACGACTTATGGATACAATGCTATATGTAACGCCTTATGATATTGAATCGCCTAGATACATCGCGAGTATGAATAAAAGACTTAGTGATTACTATATATTTAGTCGCGAAAGAAGCGTTACTGTGTAATCGACCTAAACAGGTTTCGTTTTTTTGGTAGAACATCAGTCTTTCGGAGACTTTGAGCACGTTTTTTTTGGTTAGAATTAGCAAACAAGGAATCTAGACCCCGAGGCGAGGCACAACGCATAGGTAGCAGACACCAAGACTCAATTCCTCACAAAGAATATCTTTCTTAATCAATTGTCTTCCAGTACTACGGTTATATTACTAGTGACCTTGAAACGTTTGCAATGACAGACCACGGATAAGATCAATAATCTAAAAAAACTCGCCTATTGCAATGCATGGGTTAACACTCAATCACACAATAAGGTGGGATAAAACCACTGTACTTAACTCAAATATGATTAGGTGGAACGAGGTTGGTTACTGAACATTTGCTCATTGAATCTACACCAACAACACGTAGTAGGAGTGGCGCAACATCTACGCTAGAGATATGGGAAATTTTGCTGCCAATAAAAATATTAGGTCATAGGACTGAAAGTTGTATGATTACATTGATATGATTATGAGCACTAATTTATGCTCGGAACGTCACCAAGTAAGTAGTAGTGTATCACTGTGCGCTATATATCAAATGTACAAATATAATATGGAATTAGGATTCACTGAAGTCCTATCTGAGTACCTACAAACTTGTCTACAGACCAGCTGTTATTACTCAACAGACAGCCATTTGCCGACAAATTGATATAAATCTAGTTTTGAAAGTGAGGCAAATAGAAACCGTTCATCAAGACATTCGTTTTCAGACCTCTACTTGTCCAAGCTACATCGGTTGTCATTCACTTCAAATCATATTTTTCGATGAATAACCATTCACTGAAATGTATTGTCGCTGCTCAATATTTTATGCACAGAAGCGAAACTGTCTAGTGAACACTACAGCGAGGAATGCCTACCTCTATGGATGCGTTAGTATTTCACCTCATAGGCAACACTTCCAAACAGTCAAACAGATATTCTGTTTGTTTCCTTCTCATTGTTTACACCGAATTTCCGTCACGTGACTTGATTCAATAAGATATCTTGAATGTAGTAATCATTTGGAATCTATTGAACGAATCAATGTTGTTACATCACTCAACAATCAATAAACTCAAGGTTGATTAGTTTTCTTTCCGATTGGATAATTTCGGACTAGGTTAGTTTCAGTTGTACGTGTCTATAGTTGAATTTAACAACGGTGCTTGAAAACAGATCGTGTGTCCGCTGCTGAGTTTAAGAAGAGCAATTTTTGAATTATAGCTTCACAAACACCAGTCAATGTTGCAAGGCCACAAGTGTTAAAGAATTGGAGAGCGTGTTCATGACCTATACAACAGTTTAGAAAAATTCCAGTCCCAATAGCTTTCTTTTTATAAATTCATTTCTCTTGTATGAATTTTACTTCGAGTAGAAAAGTGGTCTAGGAAATTTAAAGTTTATAGTTCACCTATAAAGATGAGTGTGCAGCACGATGTCACCATTGTCGGCAAGAGGTTAAAGACTGAACATACCTTGCAATATGAATAAGAGTAAACAGAACTTCAAACAAGTATATTATTATTACTATTATTTGTCCCTTGGGTTCCTAGTGGAACATAAAGCTTCAGTAGCACGTCGCTACTCCACTATCTTCTCTCCAGCATTTTCAACACAACTCCACCACTGCCAACAAGCTTCCATTTCTTCCTCACACCATTTCATACATGTCACTCTCATCTCCGACACCCAACTCGTCGTTTCCCACACGGGTTCCACTCGAAGGCATCACCTAACGCATGATGTCTCCCACCGGTCTTCTCACTGTATGTCCAACCCAATCCAATCCATCTCCACTTTCTGCTTGTGCATATTTGTTGGGTAATGGCTTGTTGGTTAGTTCATTGCCACCCAGCCAACCAACCAACTAGAGTGACTTCCTTGTTGCTTATTCTTATTATTCTCGTCTTCTCTTCTGATATTCAGTGTCAGCATCGAGTGAGCGTAGATGGCATCTGTTGATGATGCATGTCTGTAGTTTGTTGGAAATGCTTTATGCAACAAGCCAAGTCACTCAAACATCACATAGAAGCACTGACTTGATTGACTTAGTGTTCGAAATCCGAATCTTGTTCACACATTATGCTGAGTGTAGTGTAGTGTAGTAGATCTGCACACTGATTTCAGATTAATGCAGGAAGGCTTGTTTTGCTATCTTTCCTATCCTGACTGACTTTGACATGCTGATGTGTGGGTTTGTTGCCTGTAGTTGAGATGATGCTGCCTAGGAAGGTTACTTCCTTTATATTTCTCCCTTTGGTGATGATGATTGGCGCTTGTTGTTGATGTTGTTGTTGTTGGTTGGGTACCTTCATCACTTCTATCTTCTCCACACTCACTTGAAGTCTTGTCTTTGCTGCCCTGCCTCTTCTGTGAACTTGTTGGGTTTTTGCCTGCCAGTATATGATAACTATGGGAAATTCGGTTGCAGTCATCATCTACAATTCACATATTCAAGGGATATGATTCTTCTTCTCTCTAGTAAAGAATCCAGTTCGTACAGAGTATTTTGGAGATCAATCAAAGTTGTCTTCAGGATAGATCACAAGTTTATTTAAACTGAGTATTTGATTGAATCCTCATTCAAACTGTTGTGATAGTTTGTAAAAAATCTTTGTACAACATATAAAAAGTCTAGATGGTTTTTTATCAACGCGCTACGTGTTTCCCCTAAACGAGTGTATTTCTCAGCAGCCTACTCTATTCTATTAGACCGATGTGAGAATAGGTCAATGAAGGTAAAAGAGTTTTGAAAGCTTCAAGCATTCGAACATATTTTCTGTTACAGTAGCTCTCGTGTAAGGAGAACCGTTATTTGAGTAGTAGAGATTAGGCATGGAGCAACAGATAAAGGAGGTAGGTTAGTTGATGATGTTATGAACCCTTATTGATTGAGGTGGTTGGGATGTATATTACGAATACCAACACACGATATATCTCATCTGAGTACGGTTAAACAAAAGAAGGAAAATGGGTAGCCAGACGATGATACGTAACCAATAGATAGGGTCTTTGAATGTTATCCTAAACAATGTAGTGAATGCGTACATTCTCTCTGGGGTCTATGAGACAGCTAAGATCGATCGTTGGAGTTTCTTCGCTGCATAGTGGTGGTGCACATATATCTATATCCTATCTTCATGAAAATCGTTATATCATCGTCATTCATTTTCCTATTTGTTTTTCGACCCTTTATGATTATAGATATATCTGTTTGTTTTTTAATTTCATCATCTTTCCTCTTGTTGAATTCCATATCGGTATACCGATTTGACGAGTACCAACTTGATTGATGACATGATAATGTCAAATTCCAAACTGTTCATATGTTTTTAGTTGTTTATCTACCTTCATTCTACTAGTTTTATTTAGACTCTTATTGAAGGCGGTTGCATTGAAAAGAAAATTCAGGAAATAATTGTACAGCTTTCTGTTCATTTGTGATAGTTTGCCGTGTCTCACAATAATATTGGAGTACAATGACCGTTACAGCAATTAAAGATGAATAGAAAACAGTTCAAATTAACATATCAACAATTTTGACTAAATTCGAAGTGAATTTTTTTACACGTCGATACCAGTCAAACGACAACTAGAAAAGACCGAGTACTGAACAAATGGATTATATTTTGTTCTTTGGGTTCCACTACAGTACAATCTTATGTTTCATCGTGAAATAGGATACTACGTTACTGCGCTGCCTAACAAACAGCTGACCAGTTTCTCATTACTAACATTTCAGACACTAATGATGAAAACATTCGAAATCCAATAATTTAGATTGATTACAACATGTATAAATCGTCACTTATAAGAAAAGCTACTTAATTTTATCTTATATTTTGTTAATTCTACGGTTCTGTGTCTGTCACTTGAATACATTCCCATTTTTAACTTACATTCCTCAGTGTCCAACCAATTCTGATTAATGAAGTGAAAAACAGTAGGTTGGAGAGATAAAGTATGCTTGATCACTAAAGAGTTTCTCTCTTTTTTCTATAAGAAACTTCTGTATAATGTTTAATATACTGCTTTTAATCACAATCAGAATAACCCTGAAATATACTCTGAATGCTATTGATTGTTTACTGCCTGTTGAAATCTGCGTCAGATTTCTCTTTTTCATTTCTATGCATTACGTTTTATTTAATGAGTTGGTCTACCAAAGAAGAAGTCAGGTACATTATGATGCAACTGAACTTACTAGACTCTGGAATAATTTGCAATCACCAATAGATTTCAGATGACAATATCTAAGAGCGGTATCTAGTCGGTATTGTAATAAATAGAAAGTCAACAGGTTGTCATCATAGGCTCTAGATATTGGCGTGGAACCCTAAAGGGTATACTTTTGTTCATTAACACGATAAATCTTCAAATCTTTTAAACTATAAATAAGAAACTGCAATATATGTCAAGTTGTTATTCATCGAAGACTGACATCAGTTGGAGGAACAAAGGAAACCTGGGAGCACTGGACAGCTGTTTCGTCCTAGTATGGGACTCCTCAGCAGTGCGCACCCACGACCCCACCAGCAGGGATCGAACCCGCGACCTTCAGGTTCCGCGACCAGCACGTTACCATTGAGCTAGCCACTGGTTCAGAATCCAATGCTCCATATTTCCAACTTCTGTTAGCTCACGATATAGCGCAAACCGCCACCCAATGTCATCGTTGAGTATTTGTCCTCACGACCATCAGGCTTTGACTCCACGGTCACGACTTGTCATTGGAACTTCGGGAATACTTCTCGAAGCTAGTCACCAACGAGCAATATATGCAATATATGTATT